TTAACGAATTTAAATGTTTAATTTAATGACGAATCGTAATATCAATGTAAAAAGATTACATTATAATAACTAAAGTTTATCTTGTACATTTAAAGTAATGATTTATTATTCAAAATTCCGAAGTTTGTAAATTAATCGGAAACGGATTTATCAAAGTAATACAAATATTAGTATTCTGGAATTATTATTATTACATTTGATAAACTGATAAATAATTTTGTTTCTAACGTCTATTAATATTTCTAATTTATTATTAATGTTGTTAAATAATAAGGAAATATTGAATATACAATTTAATGTTATCTTTATCTATGAAATAGTGTTACATCATTTTATATGAATGATGAAACGTTTATAAATATAATTTTAGAAAAATGTACATATTATATGATTTTGAAGTAATTAATTAGATTTGACATGGATATAGGTAAGGATTTGTAAGTTGCAGTTCAGATTATTAGAATGGAATTATGTTTCCGGAAATAGATAAGTAGAAATAGATGATGAAAATGTGGATGAGGAAAGCGAGAAGGAAGGTGGCGTCGCGCACGCCTCACCAGATCCTGGTGTATGACATCTTTTTATAGCGTCTCCTCCTCCCGTTTTTATCGGGATAGCACCTATTTGTTTTCAAGTGTGCGTGTCCCTCTTCGTCCTCTCAAGTGCGCGCCGGGTGAACTAGTTGGCGCGTGGGAATAGATCGGGTTCACATGGTTTTGACGACGATTTGTTGATGATTCGATGATTGATGATGGACGTGGGAAGTGAAGAAGTGACATTTCTATTGCGCCTTATTCCGACGCCCCCGGTCCGAAGAAAAGTGGATTACTCCGGTTGGGAGGTGGTCGTCGAAAACGGTCCGAAGAACCCTTACGAACGCAGGAACTCTTTGCCTTTCGAAGATGCTGCTGAACCGAGGCGTCCCATACCCACCTACCCTTTCAATCCGGAGGTGGTCTCTTTCGTATCCCCTCATCTATCTCCGAATCCGAGCCGCCGACAAAGCTTATTCTCGTACAACGATCCCCGCCCGATGTCCCCCCAATCTCTTCCTCCGATGTCACCGACGTCTCGGCGTCGGAGGACGGACTCCCCGCGGCGAAGTGCCGCCTCGCCGTGTCCTTCGGATCACGAAGGATTCAAACCGTCCGCTCCTCCACCGGAGACCATCTGGCATTCCAACACCTACGAACCGATCAAGCACTCCCCGCTGGACTTGATACGCGCCCCCCCGGATCAGGTAGATGCGATTTACATTCAATTATCGTTTGATTCTTTAACTCGGATGCACACTCCTCTTCGCCCTGAGAAGCGACGATAATTAAGGAGAGAGAGAGAGAGGAAGTTTCTTTTGTGGAGTGGATTTCTTTAATAAAACTCTTAAGCCGATTGAGCCCGTCGGGGCCATTTATCATGCGGAAAAACTGTTCCACTTAATTACGCGTCTCGCAACTTTATTGTTGGAGGCGGTGGACGTCGCACCTGAGTCCTAAGACATACATACACAGACACAATTGAAATTTCCTTGCTCGTCCAAAAACATTTACTAAAACATATTAATCAATTAAATCTTAACTACCAACTTGAACATATCTCATATTTTCATTTTGGAATATATATGGTTGCTTTATTTCCCGCCAAATTAAATTACAAAATATGTATTATAATTGAATATATTTCAAAATACTTAATATGCATCAATTATTACACTAAAAACATTAAAAGTTTTATGTTCAAGAAGTGTTAAATTATAAGATTCTATTAGTGAAGTACAATACAAAAGAGAAGGTAAATTGGAGATTTAATTAGTTTGATTTTAAGTTTTGAATGTATATACAGTGGAACCTCGCTTAACGAGCATTTTGTTTAACGAGCAAAATGAATTGTAAGAAAAATGACTGGCGTAACGAGCGACGTTTCGCTTAACGTGTGACGATGAGAAGAGAAGTCACGGATTGCGCTCCCGCTACATCATTTTTAAAACGTGTGTACACATATGTATATTTTTGAATATGTTTCACTGTACGAGTAAAAATACGGATTAATCTCGTTAAACGAGGTTCCACTGTATATACATTTCCTGCTAAAACATGATTTATCAACTGAAATATACAATTGGTAAACTTCTACTGAAAATAAAGTAAATAAAAGAAATAACATAAGAAAATAAGACAATTCATATCTACTACTGTATATGTAATTATTTAAGTTTATCGAAATGTGGTTTGCAAAACATGTAATCATATTACTTTGAAAGATGAATGATGTTTTTATTATTGTGTCGAAAAATTGTTATGATTTTTTCGCTTCCAAGTCGTTCAGTAAATTACTTTACGATGAGCGCTTCCAGTAATTTAAGAGATCGTATCCTTCTTAATGGAAGCAACCACGGAATCGTGCCATTAACATTCTTCGCCCGAATATATTTATTTTCGTCACCGAAAATAAAGACGTGTCCTCTTCCTCCTCCGCATCTAAAAATAAAGTCTAAAAAGGGGGAATACGACCGAAAACAAATGGGGAGAACGCGCGCTGACAAAGCCCATTTGTAAATCATCGGCATCAACTGTAAAACTGTTTATATCTACACTTTACGATGACTGAGGATCCATTATTCGGTCCAGATGCAATTATATGAATTAGGAATGAGGGGACGTTCAAATCGATCTTAGAGGATCAACTTAACCATATCTTCTTAAACACTTGACATTCAAACAATTGGGTCTCGGTTTCGTATTCCATAATCCTATTATTTAGCATAATATTAGTTTTGATTAGAATAACAGACATTTACATATAATAAATACTAGCAATTTCATACTTATAATACATTCTTAGCCTTTTATTTATCTTTGTTTGTAATTACTAAAATTAGTTGCAATTAACTTAAATTAATATAATAAAAAGTATTAACAATATTACATTTACTAATAACTGAAATTAGGCCAATTATTTTCTTTCCAATATAATAATATACATATTTTCTACATTTTTTTTTTGTTAAATATGTGTTAAGCATGTTGACTGTTAGATCTATAATCGTCGATTACAGTAGTATTTTGTAGTCATTATGAACGAGAGCTTAAGAGGAAGATACTTGAAATAAAAGTGTTTTATGCATTTCCCATTAATCGCGCCAAACTCATTTTCCAAACTTTCTGATGTAAACTCTTGAAGAATGAACGCTTTATATTTGCGTATTTAGTTCACTATTATACTTGTGGCTCATATATTGGTAGAAGCAACATTATGGTATTATATACATTATAATTGTATTCTGAAGATCTTTAACAAAATAATTATTGACTACATATGCCTTGAAAATTATATTTTATGATAATAGTTAGTTGCCAACGAATATAAGTGAAATAACTTTTGTGCTACAAATAGCCTAACAAAAGACATATAACAAATGTTTCAGATTACAGTAGAAACAAATAGTTATAATATGACGGAAAGAACAAACAGTTGTTAGTATCAACACGTGATAAGTCAAAGGTATTTATGTTGAACTAAACAAATGCATGGTGATACGTTTATCTTCATTATCTTCAACAAGCAGTTATACAATGTTACAAGAAAAAGATTAAATATATTATAAGTCTATATCATATATTATACCAACCAACTCGCGATAAAAAGATTGGAATCTAGTAGAAAACCAAATTACGCTTCATGATCCGAATATAGTCGATACGAATTAAATGTTACTTGTGAAACTTTTGAGTTTGTCAATATTTATATAATTGAATTTATATACGGTCTTGTAGAAATTTACTAAAAGAGGAATGTAATAAAGTAATTTGTACTTTTACAATTGTATTTAGTATTTTTATTCTTTTTGAAAATTAAATCTGGGTAATACCAGAAGACTGCGGTTTTGAAATGTTGCTGAGGATTATATTAAGAGCTGGAGTTCCACTTTAAATTTAAACAATGAGGCTCGTTTCCTTGTTCGATACGGAGACTTGTTTAGCATATCTATGTACATAGTTGGAGATGTTCGGGAATTATGCAGGCAGGGGCCGTCTTCGAGCTGGTTGCCTCGTTTGCATGAATTCAACGTGCATCGGAGACGACGACTGTTTGGGCCGCGCCTTGTCTGACGGCTTGCCTGCCTCTCCGCACGTGTCGCAGATGCTGCCTCTGCCACTACCTCTGCTTCTCTTCTTCTCCAACAGATTCGATTACTATTCGATTAGCATCCAATTCCACGTCTCCGTCCTCTTCTTCAACTAAACATCAGTACCGCAGCCAAACGCCGACGGTGTGAATCCGCAAACTCCCCATTTCCAACAAAGACAAGTCAGTGGCACGTTGCTGCCATCCGCGAAGAGGTTGTAATTGAAGTTAATTAAGATATTTGTGCGTGTGTTTGTCGTCTGGCTTCGTTCGGGTTCGACTTTGAAAAGAGCGTAAGTTCTGTGTCTCCTGACGACGACTGAGACTGCCCCTCCTGTCTGCCCGACTGGTGCTAGCAGCCAGCCGCTTGTTGCTTTGCCTCGTCTTTCGCTATCTTTAACGTCGCGTAACTTGCATTCACATATGTGATCTTGTGTCCGTGAGTGCTTGTTGTGCCGATGCATCTGGATGCACACCACACGAGACGAGGCTCTGAAAACGCTGAATCCTGCCTACGAGCAGTTCTTATATTCTTTTCGCACATAGAAAGGGATTTCGCACGTCTCTATAAATAGGCGTCGCGGCGCCAAACCGCTATCCGAAACAGCTTCCGTGCCGCCGTCTCAGTTCGCGATTCCGTTTCCAAAGTGCGTGTGGTGCATCTTCTTAAAGAGCACTTATTACTTGACCCCGGATGACATTCCTACGCACCCAAAGGATCGCTAATTGAAACATAATTTGCTTCTCCGTCCATTCGCTAATCGCAATTGGAACCTTACCCATTAAGCGAGTAATTCTACCAATGACAACAACAGAAGCCTCGTATCGCTTCAATTGCTTCTAAAAATAGCGCATTGACAAATTTCAAACATTCATTTCGTATTTGTTTATTTACACATTTGTTTCTTTTTATTATATAAATATAAGCAAGCGGTTTTTGTTTCAAAATGCGGGATGTGTGCAAAGGGGCTGTGGTAGCAGCTGCAGTGGCTGTGATTGAAAAGAACAAGGAGGTGACGACGCGACTTCTGGTTAACAAAGTGGACGCGCTTCCTATTACCAATGTCCTGGAGGATCAGGGCTCAGAGGATTCCAGCACAAAGTGCCAAGAGTGGATCGAGAATAATTCTGGCGCTTTTCTCGCTTCAAATGAAGATGCCTTTATCAGCGGGCAATTCGTTAACGTCGGTCGAAGCTACGAGAGCTCCAAGCCGAAGATCGTGGGGAAGATTGCAAAGGCTATAGGAGGGTGCGAATTTGATGAAGCTGTGAAAGACTTCGATCTCACCGCGGAGGACGTCCGCAAGTTCGTGGCGGAGTCGATGAAGCATTGCGAAAGTAAAGGTATACTATAAACCCGATGATATTCGGTCGGATGTTTTTCTGTAATCTGTTGTTACCGGAAAGATGTTCGAGAGACTTCCGTTACTCCGTCCACCGATTATGTGGCCTCGGATGATTTTGAGTCATCCTCCAGCGATGGCGCCAGCAGCAGTAGCAGCGAGGGTTGCGCCAATTTAGCTGGACTTGCTACCATCGCTGAAGAAGTTACTGCTAGCAGTGTTCAGTCTTCCGAAGGTATTAACCTTTTACTTATTTACATGAGGAGAAAAGTGGAAAGCATGAGTTCATTTTTTAAATCTATGCCAATCAATCAATCGATCAATCATTTTTACAACCGTGACGAGATGCGCTTCGTGACTGCTTCAAACATAAACATCATCGTAATGTATGGCCGGAAATTCATTTGAATTTCCCAATTTGCGCAGCTATAAAACGAGTAAATTACATTTAAATTACAAACTTTCTAAGCAATTACGAGAAAATTAAAGTATAAATAGTTTTTAGTTGCCTAATATTTGTATACCAATCGCACACTTTTGATATAATTCGTTGAATCCTTATTCAATATTTAGTAAAATTTGAGTTTCTGCATATAAATATAATCAAAGTTTTCAACTACACCTTCTATACATATTTAATAATACTTCACGCGAATAACAAATCATTTACAAATCACATTTATTTAATACTATTTATGATTGTACAAAATATTTATGTAATACTGATTTACTATTTCTTAAGATTTATTTGCGTCGATTCACGTTTACAATTTGAGGTATAAAAGTGCAATAATTAAACTTAAATATAAGAACAAACCGAAACCAAATATTTATTTCTCTATATACGAAATATAGAGCACCATGGCTTATATAACATATTTTTTTTAATATTCCTAAAAATGGCTGTTGTTATTAATTTGTATCATATTTACAAAATGAGTGAAAGAATTATTGAAAAAAAATTAAAGCAAACAAAAATGATTTAGTAAACATAATTAAATGTGGATTGAAACAGTTTCAAAATAAATAATTAATAAATGTGAAGTTTGCAATGTGATTAATGCGATTCGATTAACAATATTTATTGCACGATAAATATGTAAATATTATTAATATTGCGCCATCTGTTTTCGAAGGGTCAACGACCCGATATTACGAAATGGGTCACTCATATATTTTGCATAATTGTAGATTTATTGGCACAATTATAAATGGCTGTCAATTATTTCCACGTTCCCAAATTAAAAAAAAAATATATATTAATTTGTTTATTTTTTAATTTCATGTTTTGTTTAATTACATGTGTTAATATTGATATTAATTTTTATTTTTTACAACCTAATAAATAAGTGGAAATGATCAAGATATAAATAGAAATAATAACAATATTTAATGCAAAAACCATAGAATTACATAAATAAATATAGATACGAACTATGTAATAAAAAATTACCTTAATTATTGCAATTGGCATTATTATGATGCATTAATGTTTTGAAAATAAATAAAAGTATATTTTGTATTAACATTATATCATAATTTATTATGTTAATCTTTTTTGAACGTATGAACCGACCTCAAATATATGGAGGTTAATTCATTACAGATTCCTCCTGAGGGGACAACGTTCAAAAGAAATCTAATATTGCATTATGCAAACATGATATTGAATAATGAAAGAGAAACAAGATTGCTGTAATATATTTACTTAATTACATTTTTTTAATTGAAGTTAACATAATTATGTCAATATCAATTCTATCGAATTTTGGTTATTAAGGTTAAGTAAAAGTATAATTAAAATCTTATGTTTTTTTTTTAAATAAGTACAGGATACATTTTGTTGTCTGTCCTACTTGACTACGGATCGCTTGGAATTAAGTAATTATCGGACAAGAATGGAATATTTCATTAATTTAAACTTGTTTACAAAGCAACGAAACCAATCTAGATGGTATCGCTTACGCTGTTTTCAAAACGTTATGACACAGCAACAACTACAAAAAAAACACATGCATGTGCATAACAATGTGCACATGCTCCGTATGCTAACCCAAATACGTTTACGTGAATTGTAAGTCTGACACCAGGATATCGATTTTAGTTTACATTTTATTTTTATTTTAAGTCAATAGTGTGAAGGCATATCTATTTTTGTTAAAATAAACGAGCGATGATTTGTCATGGTTGTATTTTTAACAGTAGTAACAAGATTTATTTTATTAAAAAAAATGTAACGTTTGTAAAATATTGACGAAACATTTACAAAGGAAATTAAAACAAAGTGTCAGTAAGCAACATTTAATGGTTAAATATGCTTGAATATATAGTTTGAAATTATATAATATTGTATGTTTATTCCTTTATTTTGTTATTAAATGTATTTATCTATTGGATGAGACATTTCTAGGGGTGATGTGTCTTCTTGTGTGATCCAGTTGATTCTAATTTCTCCAGAGGATTTCTTTTATCACTCTCTTATTTTCTTAGTTATATACAACATGTCTTTTACTTTATTTTACTTCTTTTCTGTGAAATGTAATTGAAAATGTAAGAGTCGTTTTTCCGACGTTCATCTTCATTCCCATGAATAATTCCCATGATTTATATTATTTTCTAAAAGTCAAATATCTTTGATACTTTTTCTTGTCTCTTTTTTATTTAGTCTACTTAGCTCAATTGTTTCAACTAGTATTTTTAGTCTTAAGTACTGTATAAGTGTTTTATTCAATTTTTATTAACATATCCTATTTTTTGTATTAATAGACTTCGAATCGAGGTGCGTTTACCAAATTGTATATTTGGTAACACGCTGATTGTAAATATGAAAGTTACATCAACATCAAAAAGAAATATTAATTTTCTTCTGGGAAGGCTTTAAAGCGGTGATTTTATTATCGTCTAAAATTAGTATGGACTAGAATAGATGAGCGAGCGAGAAGAGTGGAGGATGCAGAACAGAGGAGGCGCCTTCACTGAAATGCTAAGCTCTAAGCCAAGATGCTATTGCTGCAGCTCATGTAATGCTCCGAGACGGCGTTTTTCCACGTTTCCAAAGCGTACAAAAATAAACGGTTTGTTTACAGCTTGCATAATGGTTTCGGGTCCTGCTTCGGGTCGGCAGCTCGCGACTTCCTCAATTAACAATTCACACTCGGAATAAATTGCATTTGCGTCGCAATGCAGTGCAGCGAAAGGCCCGAACTCTGCTGCTGCTGCTGTTGCTGTAGTTTTAACTTGGCAAACTTTGTTCGTTATTGCATTTCGCAATTTTCGCCTTTTCTTCAACTTCTTTTCTTCTTATCCTCTCAGTCCAGTTTTTATTTTCGAAAACTTTCTGTGCTCGCACATTAACACTCTCTCGGACGTATGCAAATTCCTTTACTCGGAAGGCGTTTCATATAAACCAGATTCCGCAGATGACCAACCAACCGACCGGACAAGTGCGATTATGGCAGAAGAGACCACTCGCTCTTTCTGACCCATATTTGTTCGTATGGTGTGACTCAGGGCCGTAACCTTTTTCACTTGAATACGAGCACCGTTTTTCGGGAGGACAAGCAGGAATTTTCCTGGAAAAGCTGCTTCACTAATCTGCGCTGTTGAAGCTTTTTGTCCCGCGAAGCAGTTTAATGGTGTTTAATGGTTCAGACATTTCCATTACAATCCTCGAAAAGTTTACATTTTTGACAATTACGTTAAAAGCTACATACTTAAAAAAAAGTTTCTTTATTACTCAATTTGACATATATCATTTTGTTTATAAATTATTTTTATAGATGTATGATTTACTTATGTAAATAATTATTTAATTTGGTTGATAATTGCTTACACTATATTTAAATTATTGTTTTACTTTTTAATTATAATAATGAAATTTTAATATATAATGAAAAATGTGTATAATTAATATCAATTTAGAAACTTAATGAGGGAATACTCTAGAACTACAACACTTTTTGCTGCAGTGAAAGATTGCAGGAGGCTGAACTGCGTGCGATAAATTAAATTTCTACCCCTATGTTCTTTCACTTTATGTCCATGTAAGGAAGCGGACCCCGCAGTTCCGTAAATAGAATGTATCTATAGTGTAGACATATCCTTCGTCATGTTCCAAGAAACTGCGGGTCTTCACTTCTTAACTGCACCTGTTTCTTTTATTCGTTATTCATTTATATTTTTATTTTGCCTTAAATTCGACAGGAATAGAACGCGCAATATGAACTACAGCTGTGCATTTGACGAGGTGATCGAACTTGAATTAACTTAACGAAATGTCTGCTCTTCGAGTTTTCTCATTTTTCATCTTTAAGCTTGATGATAGAATGACGAGATAATAAAAAGGCGCTTCTTGTTTCGGGTATTGTCGAGCCTATCTGCACATTTAATCTGTTTGGTAAATAAGGCACGTTCCTTGTTTACTTGATGAAATCCCGGCCTGGAAATTAATGAACTCTCTTTGTGCATTCCGTGATAGGGATATTTACAATTTGATTGTTGACCTATGACTTTACATATTACATACAATTAGTTGTTTTTAAGATAACTTTTTGTAAACAGTTCATTAACTTATGAGTTTTACTAATACTTTTAATAAATACTTTATATTTTATGAAGTATTGAAGGTTCGATGAGCATCTTCAGAACTAATTATTTCATTCATTTCTGTTTATCATTAATGAACGGAAGCATGTGTTTTCTTTTAATTTCTGATTAAGATTTGAAATATTATGTTGTCATATCATATTTGCTATAACTTTAATAGGTATGAACTGAATGGAGTTGCATTTTCTTTTAATTTTCTTCTTTGTTAAATCGATATGTGGTGACCTACCGTTAGTAAAATCGGCTTCAAAGTTTCATCAGTTCGAACGCTCGTTTGACCCGCTGTAAACTCGTTTCTTTAGATAAAGGTTACCTTTAATGATTCATTAACTAGAACTGTACATTGATTGAAGTGCATCCATATCTATTATTGACACTACCGTTTAGTTTTAAAGAAATTATCATAATTAATTTATCGCTTAATTACGCTCTATTTACGAAAAACTCATTTACTTAATTATTTTAAATTATATTTTACAGTTTTATACTTTTCAAACTTTTACATACTGTATCATTCAAAGATGAAAAAAAAACTGAAACTGATTCACAACATATTTTCACATAAAACATGATTAATTAATACATTTAACAATAAATTTTTCGAAATCCCCGCACATTATTTCCTTTTAA